TCAGAATCTGGGGGTGGGCAGAAGGACAAGTGAACACTCAAGGTGTAATAAGAGCTCTCATTAGTCATTTAATGTATGAGATGATGGAGAACTGAATAGAAGAAATGCTTAAACCTGGTATCCAGGGGGATGGTCTGTGGAGGAAAGGCTACCCTAGGGAACTGCTCTAAGCTTCAAGGAATGAGTGGAAAGTTAATGAGGCAGATGAGAGAACTGGGAGCCTGAGAAGCCAGCTGGAAGGAGGCTCACTGTGGGTTTGGATGAGATAACCCTGAGAGAATGATACATGATAAATAATATAAAATTGTATGGCCTTAGTTAATTTGGTTTCTGTGACATACAAAGTGAGAATGAGCTATCCTAAGTAGGGCCAGAAAAGATCTGTTTTCCTAGAAATTAATTAATTGGGTATAAAGTGGGCTTCAAGAGCTTGCATTTAAAAAAGAGCGGAAAAATTGTATGGGTAAGTGGGATGAAGGGAGGAAGCTGGAAAGGAATGTTAAGTGTGGGTTATACTTGATTGTAGCTGTGACTAAGTGANTTAACTTGTGATTCTGGTCTGTATTCCTTTCCACATGGTTACATAGGTGAGATCCTCCTCCTACCCTTATCACTATGTCGCCAGCTAGTCTTTACTTTACTTTTACTTTACTTGAGTAGTGACTCAAGAGGGATTTTTATCCAAAACCAAATGTAATTTACACATACCTGAAAACTTAACAGCTATTTACTATGCTTACTCTCAAGCTTTTTTTCTCACTCCCATGTATAAGAGATTAGCTATTATACTAGACTCATAATGCTTAGAATTTAAAGCCATTATGGTGAATTCCTTGATTTAGTTTATTATGTTAAAAGCTGAATTTTTACTGCCTTAATTTGAAATTAGATTGACATAAGATACTGCCACGATTTTTTTTAGATCTTCAATCAGTTATAGCTACAGGAAGTGATTAATGAGTTTGGGGAGAGTTGGGGGATTGTATGATTCTTCCCACAGTAGCTGTTGTAGTATTTAAAGTACAGAATTAAAGGTCAGCCGAGTGGCGCGTTAGTTAGGAGTTGGCTTGGGACACCAGCTCTGAGCAGCAGGGCCCCGGTTCGGATCCCACATGAGGGCCAGCAATGCTGCGCCCTCTACAGCTGAGATGAACAACAGCTCAACCTGGAGCTGGGCTGCCGTGAGTTGCAGGCAATGGCGTAGGCTGCAGTGGGGTTGGCCTGCAGCTGGCGTGAGCTTTCGTGAGCTGCCATCCAACGGCCAGTGAGCGACTGCCTCACCCAGGAAGAGTGCAATGATAATACCAACATGGGCCAGTGAAGTGACATCCTCCACAACTAGACTGAAGAAAAAAAAGACAGCAACTTGTCTGTTCCCCTTCCCCAATTCCCCAACGCTGTTCCCCTCCCCCAATTCCCCAATAAAATCTTTAAAAATAAATAAAGTACAGAATTAGCAGAAAACAACTAGAAAAGTCTAGTCAAGCAGTGGGTCATGGACAGACAATGGTGGTAAGCAGCTACAATGATTGTGGTTTGGATAGAAAATTGGTCCCAGGAGGAAATCAATTTCCAACAGGGATAGAGTCCAAAGGTAGTGAAGAATAAAACAAATTCACGTTAATATTAAAAAGATTAACATGTCTCTTTATTCCCCAAAGCCA